CTTAGTTGGTATAGCGTCTGGCACGGTATGCAAGAAGATGTCGGTTCGAATCCGACCGGATCGAAGGAATTTTTTCTGAGTGTTTTGTCTGAGTGTTCGATCTTTGTATTAATAATTATTACAATTACAAGTTACTAATTTGATTCAGTAACTTGTAGTTTTTAAAAATAACACTGACACGTTACCGACCTCATAAATGTTATTTGGTTTTCTTTATATACAAATAATTCAGATTTATATAATATAAATAAGTAATATCTTTATATAAAGGTGTATTTAATAACATTTCGAACGGGATTAGCTCTTGACAACTTCAGCGTGATGAAATCTAAAATTACATCCTTCAAGATTCGATATTGGGATAGACAGTGAGAATTTTCCCAATAAGTCAATACCTACTCAGTTAACAACCTACTCACATTCAGATTCAAGCACGAATAGGTATAATTGAAACGGATTATTTCAAGTGGAAGCTATTAATAAAATTAAGTGAGCATTTTACCACGTGCTCTTTTTTTTAAATTTTATTCTGCAAGTGATGCTATTTTGCACAAGGATTATATATTCGATAAAGTTCTGTAACTGTGTGATTTATTTATTAAGGAAAATGCATAACATAATAATTTGAATGATAAATTTAACTGAGTTATTTATATTCATACGCTACGCAAGTACTGCCACAGTGTAAAGAACATACAGTGGGATATCGCCTTTGAAGTCTCGCGAAATGACGCTTTCATCTAGACATTACGTCATACCGCAGGGTTGTCACCATGTGTTGTTTTTATTTAGTATGTTGGGGTGGGTGTGCTACTACTATGTCCATATTTTGTATTATAGAAAAACGATGTTGATGTGGGGTTTTTCTCACAAACCGTTTATAATATGTGCAGTAGATGTAGTGTGTTTTAATATTTTTTTTTATATTTGAACGTTTTATTTTAAATAAAACACTCTCTCACTCAATTTGTCCAAGTATTTCCGATTAAATCGGATCTTCAATCCAAAGCTTGTATCTGAAAATAATAATAACGACAATGATATCCAATTTGCCATTATTTCAAAAGTCATCTCGGATTTAGAAATCAGTGCCATATTCGTAATGAGCACCCCCAAATACCTCGAAAATGATACCCATATTGCTATGTCTAGACGTGTCCGTTGGCCGACTGTAGGAATTGGTTAGACTGTGGTACTGCCAAGTTATCAGTGTCTAGCAAGTGAAGTGAGGTTATCGTATCTGTCTCAGGCAAACGTTATTTATTAGTTCCTGATTATTCCCCTAGATACGTATAAAATGTTCTTAGATTTTTATAAAATTCTTTCTTATAGGGTTATTTTTTGTAACTCTAAACACTTAGATGGTATTCTTCATAAAAAACATACTTTGTACATACATTGGATCAGCATTTCATCAATTGCAAAAGAAATAAAAAAGTGTTAATTTCTAAAAAATATATTATAACGAATGTCATTTTTTTTTGTGTAGATGTGTCAAAAGGTTTCAGGTTATTGAAAAATACCCTTTTGTAATTATGAAATTAAATAAATTAAACATGTCTGAGCCTACTTGAAGAAATCCCATAAATTAAACCCTGATAAATTACTTTTCGGCCATAAGATGATGCATTTGGTTTTTACCTTTATCCAACGCTGTTCTTATTGTCAGTATAATAAATTATTTCTTAAAAATTCCGCTCCATGACGAGGGTTAAATCTTACTTGCATTTCTTGAATTTAATTATAGGGTAAACAAAGTTTAAATAAATTTAGTTTGAAAAGTTATCGGCATTAATAAGCTGCCGAACCCAATGGCGCTAATTTGTGTCTAATAAGTTTCTTTATGTTAACAAATTGCCTCACTCAAATCAATTTCGAACTGACTTTGAAGATGTGTTTTCGTAAATTTACACAGAAATTATAAGCAATTTGAAAGGTTCCACAGACGGTTCTCGTCTCGCATTAAAGTTAGTTAGAACTTAAGGTCCTCAAATAAACATTTTGGAACAAATTATTTTAATGGTCCTTAAATATTTTTTTTACCTGCACATTTTTTCTCTAACCAGTAAAATCCGTACTATATATTAAAATCTTTTGCGTACAATCCCAAAAACATCTAGCCGTTTTTCGTCAAAATAATTGTTAATTTTTATATAAAATATTAATTTGAATAAATTGGACAGCCAGATGAATATTTTAGGCGCGATGAAGACTTTTTAGGAAAAATTACCTTATTGTTTCAGTGCCTATTAGTTAAACAAGTGATATTAAAATTCTATAATATAATTGTAATGAATAAACTCACAATCATAACATAGTTTTACGTCTAACTTCAAGTATACGATTACAAAAACTAAATTCATGAATATCTACAACTTTTACTTAGCTATTTACTAAAGGATTTGTGCACAAACACTTCATAAGCAATTTAACTCAATTTTGGTATCTGACAGCTTAAAGACAATGGAATGGGCAGAAATGTTAGTGGCAGATTAATTAGAACAAATCGAATAATACCTACAGAATAAAAAAATTTGGTCAAATAGGATTTATGGGAAAGTAAAAAATAAAATAAATTCTATAATGGCACGACTGTTTTTGTATTTTTGTTATATCAATCAACCTAAATAATGCTTTTGGTGAATTCAATATATTTTTTTAATAAAAAAGTAAGTCCATAATTGAAATCCATCTCACCTAGTGGAAAGTGACGATGAGTTCGACGATGGAGCATGCACACCAAAATAATATCTATTTACTCTCACCTTCAAAAGACCCAGGTTACATAGCGCTTTTTTTTATTAATAATTTGGATTGGATATTTTTTATAGATTGGATACAAGTCCTTTGAGCCATGTCTTCGTTTAATTATGTTTCTGTAAATATGGCCGCCACAAAGAGGATAGGCAATTTGAGGCGGCCTGCTTGGATTGACTCGGGATTCCTTAGAACGCGCCGATACGGGTATTTTAGTTCGACATACGTATCATTTCGCATTTTAATGTTCGATTAAGGCACAATAGCATTATCCTATTCCACTTTAAACTAGATTTCACAAAATAATTGAAAGCCAAAATAAAAACGACACTTTTCCCTCCAAAAGGCCCAGAGCGAATTCCGGTTACATAGCGTTTAGCTTTATTTCCTAGTAGAGATACGGAATTATTAAAGTCACGAAGGGTATGTTTCATCTCTTTTTAGCAAAACGATCAAACAAACCAACATTTCATACCCTTTACATGTCTCATAGTCCCAGTTGACTCAGCCGGCAAAGGGCTCGAAACATTGGTTTGTTTGAAAAACAAATATACGTGATTTAGATTCAAAAAATTAGTTTCATTTCCAATGTTGAACACTATTGTAAATAAGTGTATGTTATCGCGATATATAATAAATCATAAACAAATTATATTTCAATATTAATAATATAACTATTTATGTACAAAATTTTATTACATAACTATAACAATAACGCACACAGGCCTTCCCTAGCCACTAGGGAAGGCCTGTGTCGCGGATGCCATGGAAACACACATAGACAACCACAAATTATATAATTGAATTAATAATATAACTATGAATAAATAAATAATTCTAATTATTTAATAATTAATAATGTGATTTAATGATACTATTTAAGCTATTTAATTTCACACACGTTATTTACTTAATAAAGTTCACAAGACAATTTAAAAATATGATGAAAAATTAATTGTTTGTGAGAAACAGTCTTAGCACTCACTAAGTGGCAGAAGTCGCGAGGCACTGGTTTTCAGCTTGCCTTCTACTTTTGCAAACACACTACTACGAACTCGCGCCTCCTCAAAAATGGTAGACGCTATACAAAAGCGAGGCAGCCCTATCAATATCCTTTATGATACCAGTGACAGGACGAACAGGTCGTGCTCCAGGTGGTAAGCGATACGCCTCTTCATAACAGTTGCAGTCGCGCTCAGAGTTTAAAATCACAAAGATCTGAGAAGAATTGTCACTGCACCCCATCACCCTGAGACATAAATTGACAAGTCTTAATTGTCTGTAATTTTACCAGCACCCTCACTATTTAAAACCGAAATGCAATAATACTTACATTAATGGTTGCTTTGCTACTACGTCCGGCACCTTGAGGCATAAGTGAAAAGTGTCTGTAATTTCACGAAAACCTGTACGCTAGTTGGCAGATCCTTTTACCACGATGGCAAGCATATACTGTCGATCGAGAAGAATGTGCCCTACAATGGGTTTTGACCTAAAGTACTTTCCGATTGTTGCCCACGGTGCGCCAGACACAGGTACAGGTACAGGAAAGGAATGTACGTCGTGAGGGGAGATTCCTTTCATGCAACCCAGTACTATGTGTATATACTACTGAGTATTTTCGAAATCAGTGCTGTTCAGTTTACTAAATAATTTGATTTAATTCCGAAAGATAACGTTGTGGTTTCGAAGTACTTTTCACAAATCATGAATCAACGTAGACGTGAAAAGTTTGTAACCGGTAACGGGTCAGTGGAATGACCTGTGACAACTCCTCCGTCTGATGGATAAAGAGACATGTTTGGGGAACGTATACGTTCATCATCATCATTATCATCAAAATAAACAATTTTATTGCTTGTAATGAATAATAAGTGTTTTTTCATTAATTTTTATGTGAAATTACTCTACTAGTTTGTTATAATTATTAATACAAGAAAGAAAAATTCCTTCGATCTGACTGGACTAAAACCTACGTCAGCGACTAAAAATGCGTTAAAACCAAAGACAAAGATATGTAACAAACGCATATTATAAACATTCGTAAAGTCAGCTGACTCAATCTGTAGCTCAGTTGGTAGAGCGGTCGCCCTAGTATGGTACTGACGCAAGTTCGAGTACTGTCAGAACGAAGGAATTTTTCTTTTTTATTCGATATTTTTATTAATAATTATATCAATTTTAGTTACTCCTTCCATTGTTTCTTTTTTGTTGGTGTTTTAAATGTATCCATTTTGTTTCAGGACAAGAATACAACTTCAATAAGCTTACAGAAGAAGAAGTGAATTCTTTAGGCCAGACTTACGACTACGATTCGATAATGCATTATGCAAGGAACACTTTCAGTAAAGGAACGTATCTGGATACAATATTGCCGCTAGAGGTCCTTGGAAAGAAAAGACCGGAGATCGGACAAAGAGTACGATTGAGCGCTAGTGATATCGCACAGACGAACCTTCTTTATAAATGTGCTAGTAAGTAATGACGTTTTATATATTAAATATTATAATATTTTTTAAATAGATGTGATAAAACGTTTAAAGAGTCGTTCGTTTCAGTCGATGTTCCATTAGTATTTTTATAGAGATTGTCCGCACTAATTATACTGCGGATATTCTGAGTGTGGCCAGTATCTTTACAACAGAAGTTCTGATGGATCCACTTGTGTTATAAGCAATGGAACTATCCGTATTTGAAAATACTTCTGGACCCACTAGTGGAACCAAGCAGTGGATCCAACAGTCCTGAAGGAGTTTTAGAAATACAGAGATTATTTCGAATTCTTATGGATCAATGATTTTAAAAGACAAAGCTAAGCAAAACCTCTTCTACCGAATAAAATTGTTTGTACAATATAAAAATGTTTTTATCCTTAAATTTATAAATTCAACAGCTATTTCACAGCCGTAATTTTCAATTACAAATTCCTTTATGAATTACTGAGAGAAATTAATATAAAATACAGGCGAAATTTATCCAACGCTTTGTAAAGTGGCGTAAGCAACGTCGTAACCCGAAATTAGGGAACTCATATTAAGACCGGCTTAGCCAAAATAAGTGTTGTTTAATGGACGAGATCCGTCTAGATTGTTGCCACGAGAGGGTTACTAACATATTGAAACTAACATTAGCCTGTTAATTTTAGGTTACGTAAATTAGTGATAGAATTAGCGACAGATTTTGGAACAAAGGCATCCAAAACTATGTATATTTTGCGAACATTGATTTCGAATAGATGTAGTGCTATAATTTTATGAATAAGCGAACATGGTTTTCATTAAAATGTTTTCAACATAAGCTAAAGAGACTGATTTTCAGAAAAAGTGACCAAATAGCGATGCCACACGGACGCTGCCGGTGCATTGCGTCGTCGCTACGCTATGATTTCAACGCACCGATTACCACACGAGCAATGCGGTATCGCAACGTAACGTCAACCGCTTACGCGTCGTAACTCCCCTCCCCGCTTCGTCTCCTGGCCCCTTATCCGTAACGTACGCGTTCGGTCGCCGCGCGTCGTTTCAACGCACAATGTGTCACGCGTCACCACTCAGGCGTCGCAACGCCGACGTAACGCATCGTGTGACATCAATCAAAGTCGTTCTACTAAGCGCGCATTCTTGCTACTGGAGCGACGGGTGGCGGCATTTGGTCTCATTGTTAAATAACAAATACGCCTTCCATGTACGGTGCACAACTAAACAGTAGTATTCATTTTACAGAATGTGGAAAGACCCTTCTAGGGAACTCTGGCTGGTTCAATTCACCAGGCTGGGGCGTCGAATCGGCCACCGCAAACTCAGAAACATGCGAATGGCGCATTGTCGCTACTCATGGGGAACGAGTTGTCCTGAATATTACAGGTCAGTTCATTACCATAGTTACTTACAGACGAGAATTACAACGACATCGACAAGACCAAAGCTTTTACTCTTAAAACTTAGGAAACTACAATAGGAAAAGCGATAAATGTCCAATGTACATTAAAATGTACTAAATATAATTACACCTTCAGGCTCAAGCAAGTATGCCCTGAGTTTTATATGAAAAACGAATTTTTATTGATACTCTTTGGTCATATGAAATGTATAGCGCTAAACTTTAATACAATATATTCATTATAATGTACACTGGGCGTTTACGTGACCTTAGGAATGTATCATTTCAGTGTGTACATTTGATGTACATGGGGACTTAGGAGGTTAAAGAAAAGAACATAATATAGTAAAATTTTTATTGAATTGATATTCAATTGTTTTTTGTGAAATTACTCCACTAGTTTGTTATAATTATTAATACAAAGATCGAACACTCAGAAAAAATTCCTTGCCAGACGCTATACCAACTAAGCCACGGAACGAACCAACGGACCTCACGAATTTTTTCTATGTGCTTGCGTCGTGTCTTTGTATTGGGTTTTTCAAAGACTTTTTACGCAAGCACATAGAAAAAATTCGGTTCGAATCCGACCGGATCGAAGGAATTTTTTCTGAGTGTTCGGTCTTTGTATTAATAATTATAACATAATATAGTTTTTTATTTTTAGTTTGTCAGTATACATATATAATATTTCAACGAATTTTCTTTACCAAAATAGACAATTTCACTTTACTAGAAATTTTACTTAGACATCCTTGTCCCAAATCATGGGATCTCATGAATTATTTATCAGGAATAATTAATTATTTGCCCTATTACTTAAAGCTAAGTCTCTTTTAAACATCGATAGCTTAAATACTTACTTAAATTGTTATGGTTCAACAAACTAGGAATAAACTTTCATCATATGCACTATAGTACATATTAATATGAACGTTTGCATCTATACGTCTAAAAGTTAGCCTTTATATGGCGGAATATTTTTTTAACATATCTGAGAACAGAACAGCCGGTCCTTCAAGTTTCTATATGTCAAATTCAATATGTCAATTATTTAGTTTGACTTGAACTACTCTATCAACTAGAAATAATGTAAAAATAAATAGTGCAAGATAAGAGAAGCTTGTTATAGACAATAGGGAAACGCAGGGGATAGAAACTTGGGCATCTGATACGACAATTTCCTTTGAAGCAATTTAGCAGGGAAAGGAGGCAAGGGAAGACTTACATAGATATAAGTTAATGCCGTGTCATACAAGGTACGTTAGGGAGCTGAACACTCATAGTGAGTGACAAGAATCTAGCTCTATTTATGGGAATAATAATTAAGTAAGAAGCTAGCTATATTTAAGGGAATAATAATTAAAAAAGAAGAAAGAACCGGTAAAGGTACCGACTGAGTGAAAGCCTCAAAGATGTCACTTACGGCGATAAAAGCTGAAACAACCCAATACGAAATTCATAAGGTCTGCTGACCCGATCTGTAGCCCAGTTGGTGGCCCTGAGTGGTTTGGCACGGATGCATGTTCTAGTCCCGATTCTTTTTATTTATAATTATAACAAAATAATGGAGTAATTTCACAAATTAATTAATATCATACATGACTGACATTAATATTAGACATAACTGGTTGATGACTTCACAACCGTGTTCATGGGACCTGTAAAGGACCCGAAACGTCGGTTTGTTTGAAAAAAGAAATATACGCGATTTAGATCCGAAAACATAGTTTTATTTCTTGTGTCTAACAACCGCGAAAACCTAAAAACTCGATGAAATTAATATCATGATGATATTCCATCAAAATCAAGAAAGAAAGAGTTTTGATAACGTAACACGTGGCAATAAATCATCTATAGTCGTCGACCTTGTCCAAAGCGGCCAATATTGTAATAATGTACGTAAAATCCCTATTGTGGGCAAAAAGAGTATGTCGAGTGTTTGTTAAGGACCGGCTGCCCAATTTCAGAGGCCACTTGAGATCTTCAGATGAGTTGCTGCCTAAAAGACAACGGGTTTTATTGTTCAGCTCGACGTACCCGTGTTAATGAACGTATATCTATACCCTTGAGTATTAACTTCGATATTTAATGCCTCTAATTTTATAATATTGGTAACACAACTGAATTAGTAGAACTTTGCTGAAATTTACCGATACGTAACCCGCTTCTTTAGTTCAACTATGTTAACATTATGGAAATTATTAATTCAACACAATATTGTCTATAAATAAGAAGCTAGTCCATGAAGTTGGGAAAGTAAGATTGAGGTGCCTATGCTGGAACGTAGGAACCATGAATGATAGGTTATTTATTAAAGATTTACCGGACGTAATCAGCAAAATGACTTCAAGTAAAATACGTGGCGAAATTACAAGCACATGAGACTTGTCAACTTATATCTGCGGGTGATGAACACAGTCGCAGAGGTCTTTGCGATTTAAAACTTTGAGTGGCACAGCAACTTGCACACGACTTTTTTCGTCCCGTCACTTATTATGTGCTGTGTCTACCCCGAGTAATAAAAGGCAGGGGTAACATGTCAAAACTCAGGGCCAACTGACTTTTCTTCTGTTCTTTTCGAACTGTATTTCAATGTAGATATGTATTTTATTACATTTCTGACCTTTCCTATAACATCGATCGAGTTCTTCATAAAGCTTATAAATTAATCTAGAACCAAAACAACCTTTCATCCAAATCACTTCTCCGTAAAATTGCCCACATCAAACTTGAAACCATTGTCCAACCGTCAATACAAAATTTGTCATTTCCACGAATTTCTGAAGGTAATCCTTCATAGTTATGGTTCGGTCGAAATAACGACGCTATTTTGACAGTGCGACCACCTTGTTAAGGCTTGTCCGTTAGATTCAGATAAATGGTTGTTTAGACAAGCGTTTATAATCCTATAAGAATGATTTTATAACATTATTAAAGTGTGGAGACATTTTGAAAAATAAACGGATTCCAATCACTTTAGTACCAGTAGGACTCTCTGTGAAAGAGTTGATCCAGGGAAGTATTGCCACCGTACCTATTTCTGCCACCAAGCAGTAATGTGAGCACTACTGTGTTCCGGTTTTGAAAGGTAAGGGTGCTGGTGAAATTACAGGCACATGGCACTTGTCAACCTACGTCTCAAGTTAAGTTACGGGGGCAGTGGCAGTAACCCATAGTACTTTTTGATTAAAAACTCTAGGTGGCACTGCAATGCTACAGAGAGGTATGTCGTTTACCACCAAGCGCTAGACATGTGCGTTCCGTCCCTTGATACCAAAGAAGATACTAAAGAATCAGGACTTTATTGGCGAATTCTGATAATTAAATACAGTATTTAAATGGTGGCCTTGTGGAAGTCCTTGAATCGACTCCGTAACCACGCTAAACAAAGACAAGATGTGTAAATGGGATTCAGGGATGCTAGTCTAACCCGATGTGACTGCGCCATAGTCCATGCAGCACTCGTTGTTGTACCCTAATACCTTACAAGTGAAGATCTCAAAGCGGCCATGAGAAAGCGCAGTTAAGATGCCAATATTCTATTCAAAGTCAATATAGTCCTAAAATAAAAAAACATTGACATGATAAGATTACTTAAAATTGATCATTATACTTAATAGGTACAGATGGCAATACGTATATTATCAACTTGAATAATATTGTGTTTATTTTAATCACTTTATTTCAGTGCAGAATAATTGTAATAACTATTTTTCTAAGTAGCTGTTACTAGCCAGCATGGTGTTTTCTTCGGGACATCGAATATTAGAAAATACCTATTACCGCATTTATGGAACTTGTATTACACGCAGAGTAAATTAAAATATGCATAACAGTTTAACAATTAAGGCGCATTTATTGGACACGAATTTTGTCGAGCTCATCCCGCGCGACCGCCGCGTGATCGCCGAGCGGAGTCCGCGTTACCGCCGCGCAGCGACCGCGTGCTCCTCACTGTTATGGCAAAATACGCTCTATTTCATTTAGCTTTTACGTTTTAACTTAAATGAGCGTCCCGGGCACGCGGGCGAAGCTGGCTTGAATTTGGTCTACGCGGCGGCCGAGTGACGACCGCGGAAACCGAGTGGTTGCGCGGTTGTATTAGAGGAATTTAAAAGATGTTGCCTATTAAATAGAACTCAGATTCGCCATTAATGTACATGAAAGCGTGGTAACTGGACGGTCACCGTGAAGCGGCCGCGTGAAAACTATCGCCTCATCTAACTGGGCGCTAATACCAGACGATTGTAATGCCATAAAGCAATGTTTGCGTAGCTTTTACCTACTTAAGGTACACTACTGGTAGGTAAATTACAGTCGAATATAACGTACCCCATTTGAAAGTTATTCCGAGATGATTAAATGTTTGCACTGAGCAGGCAATCGAATTTCTAGGAAACAAACAAGAAACAAATTCGTACAACAATGTTCGTATTATCAGAAATGGCTATTATTAAAGGTAAGATTAAAAATACCTTATCTCGGTATATTAATATAGTCAATGGCTTTTTCATTTCGATGTTACAAGACATCCCTAAGCCTACTAGGGTGAGTTCTCAAATAGTTCTATTGACCTAACATAAACGTAGCGATAGTGCCTAGAAAAACAATAGTGTTTCTTATGTACATAGTAATATAAGCGCTAATGGACAGTATTAGCGTCGTTCCCAAGAAATTTCATCTAAGACCCGTTGACCCGTTGTTGTAAGTGTTTTATTGAATGTCAAGGTGTTTCACCACCATTCAATTATTTTTTGTGAAATTACTCCACTTGTTTGTTATAATTATTAATAGAAAGATTCGGACTCGAACTAATGTTTTCTAGCAAACTGTGCCAGACGCTATGCCAACTAAGTCATGGAACGAACCAGCGGACCTCACGAATTTTTCCATGGGCTTGTTTGTCGGATCTTTGTATGTGGTTTTTAACGACTTTTTAGCCGTAAAGTGAGAAATCTATGAAAATTTTTTTTGTTATTGT